AAACATCCATCCATCTAAACTTTCGCATTTATAATGTTTAAAATAAGATTTACCCTCGACAGTATTATGTTGACGTCGATGTGTACCAAGTTAGGTTATATAAGTTGCTACGATTCGTTAATTACATTGTTTTTGAACTTAATATAATAATATCGATATGAATGCCTACAATTTACACACCTTCTTCAATACAATGAAATGAGATTAAGCTTTTTAATTTGTAACTTAGCAAGGCGAACATAATTTATCGTTCACCGCGATACTTAGCAAGTGTTTGAGAGCTAAACGTTTACTGTAAACAATAAACAGTAACAAGGCCAAAGTTTTTTAATCGTGAACTTCTCGCCTTGTTTCACAATTTATTGTTTTTAATTCAGCCGCTGCTACCTGCAATGAGCCCCACTCGATACATTGGAAGCTGACAAATAAATGTTTCAGAAGTGTTCCTACTGCAATAGTGATGTGCCTTTGTGTAATTAGATATCGACAAAATGTTCTAGCTAAATAAACTTTAGAATATACAGTGTTTGTTGTTAAGGAATTTTAATAGTGCCAGTGTTAAATAAAAATTAGCATATCTTACAGGAATTTTATGCAGAAAATATTGCGTAATACGATAAAAGATATTATCGATAGATGGCGCAACCAGTTCACGGACGCACAGTGTCGCCCCCTGCCGGCACCTGCAGCTAACAGTAGACGCGGCAAACGCACTTGCACTCATTGTGCTGTAGTAATCTATGTCTATACTAATATAATAAAGCGTAAACACACACTTCTTTGTTGCCTAATATGTCAGATATAGCATATTTTCGAATAGTTCTTTACTAAAAAGCCCTACACTTACGTCATGCTTTAGGCTATATATTTTCACGCCATTAAACTTAAAGGGTAAATATTTTGGATAAAAACCTTAACGTGGGAAAGAGACCATAAGTTGCTGCCAACATCGAGAAAGAAAGATTGATAAGGTTTGTCACGTCATGTCATTTTGACATTTGCTATTGATAATTTGACAAATGTAAACAATAAAACATTTTTTTATAATTTCATGCGGATGAAGCCGCACGGGAATAGCTAGTCATGGAATAAAACTACTTAGTCAGTTGTTTTTTCAAGTAAGTTTTATACCTAATTTTGCTCAAACATTGCTTGTATTATAGTATTTTTGTTTACTGCACAAGAGTACAAGGTGTTAATAATTGCCCTGGTTTAAAATACTACTTTAATTTGATTTCTAGAGTAGGTAACGTTTTTCTAAATATTATTATAACACATTATTAATAAGCACTTAGTTCTTACTATAATGGTATAAATAGTGAATTCGTCACTTAAATAAATTGATTTTATCAAACTAAATGATGTTTAAATGTGATAATGCAGCGCAGTGACGGAGAGTTAACGAGGTTACGAGCTCGCTTTGATGTCGCCGTGTTTGCTAAACTCAGAGTTAATCGAGCGGAATCATTTCATTTTATCAAAAGATATTATAACGCGAGGGCCGCGGGGGGCCCTAAATAATGAAATTAGGGCCCCCCGCGCTCCGACACCGACACGAGGGCCCTGATTTAATTTTAGTCTTGATATGATGCGATCACGATGATTTAAAATTTGTTTACTGTCATTAAATATTAAAACCCCATCTCGTTTATTAGTAAAAGGGAAGGAAAAATTGTTTTTGTGAAATATAAGAGGTTTATTTAGTTATAATTACACTATTAACTAGCAGCCCATACTTTAGATATTAATTTAAATATTCTAAGCTATTGCATAATACGATCACATAAGTTGAAAGCTTAATGTTAGACAGAACTTGAGTACAGTAATGCTACACTTATAAGTGTTAATTCCCGTTGTTTTCCAATAAGTAGTGGTTTATAGTGAAAGTAATTTTTTTCCTGTAGATTCCAATAAGTCAATATTACATTGTAAAACTAAAATAGGTAAATTAAAAGAATAATATTACTTACGAATTTTATTAAGAAGAAACTATATGGTAGTTTTAATTAAGCAATACTCACATGACTCAAAAAATCTTATAATGAATATAATTAGCCTATGTTACTCGGTGATAACGTAGCTTTCAATTGGAAAAAGAATCTTTGAAATTGGTCTAGTAGTTATTGAGTTTACTCGTTACATACAAAAATACAAATGCTTGCTTTTTATTATCATCATGTACCTGTAGTGAAATCTTATACGAAAGGATGTAAAAAACAAAAGAAAGTGGAGCTAAAAGCAACAGCTTGTATTTGCATAAAATATCATACTTTATTAATATTATAAATGTGAGAGTTTAGATGGATGGATGGATGGATGGATGTTTGTAAGAGTTTGTAGCCTAAACGGCTCAACCGATTTCGATGAAATTTGGTAAGGATGTAGAGGACAGTCTGGAAGAACACATAGGCTTTGTTTTTTTTAATTCCACGCGGACGGAGTCGCGGGCGAAAGCCAGTATCAATATAAATGACAATATTCATATAATAATGTACAGAAAAGAATTGTGAATATCTTTTTGATTTTATAGAAATGTTTATTTGCAAGTTAAATAATGGAACGTAAATTTAAAAGTTTCCGAGTTGTTCTGGCACGTCCGTATCGGTCGACATCTGAAAACCATCTGAACGCAACAAAAACACGTGGGCAGCTTTCAGAGGGGGGTGGGCGGAGCTTAAAGTTCGTTAAAACCAATAAGAGCGCTGTTTTATTATCTGTTTCTTTCTTAATGGAAGTTGTCTCTTTCTAGCACGTTCCGGAGTGTAGTCGATTCTTCATATCTGATGTTTTTGTAGTCGTTTTTAAGTTGGGAGCTTTCGCGAATATTGCGTGGAATCGGCTTTTTATTTGAACGTTGCCAATTTAAATGTATAAGAGAGGTTATTTTGGAGATCGTGAATAGATTACTTTGTATCGGCGTTAGCTGGCACAAATACTATCGTCATTATTGTCATATACATATGTTTTTGTTGATGTTTTATTTTTTATTTTTCTTGAACGTGTTATTGATGGTATATGTTATCTATAGTGGATAAAATAAATGGTTTTATTTATTTTATAACATTGATATATTAAAATTAAAGTAAACTAATCTTATTAAAATTAGAAGTTCAGTAATGTATTTGATACTGGAAATGACATCAATTGTCAATAAAAATAAATACTAAAGAAATAATATTATACGTAGGTTACAAATTAGAATAGTTTAAGATTATAACCGCAATTTGGTATTTTTTTATTACTTTCGTCTTGTTAAAACAAGTCTATGATGTTGAAAGCAATTACGTAGATGTCCTAATAAACGGCAACGAGTCTTACTGTCATTATACTTTGCCAAATATGTATGTTTTTCTCAATATATGTAGAAATGAAATATAATGTGTTCCTTGTTGTAAATATATCTTTAAAATAAAGGTGTTTGGTTATTAAAATAATATTTGTTTACTTACGTATTACAAGTTTTTATAAAAAAATGATAAAATCTCGTTGTCTGTTACATTACCGTTATCAAAAATTAATTATTAAATAAAATGTGGCAATAAAATTGCACAAATTTTGAACAAAGATGATATAAGAGTGGAATATAAAAGCTCAGTTATCATTAGCTATCATTATTGCGCCGAGCTTTGTGCTCGGAGCTTTGAGGGTAGCTTTTTTGTCACACGTTTAATTTTTTTCATCCTGAATCGTTTATTGTTATATTTATTTATTGTACCGCCATATTTATTAGGGGAAGAGGTTTTTAATTTCGGTTAATACCCACCATTAGGGATTAAAAAGAGCTTATAAAATTGACTCGGTGTTGTGGTACAATTGGTCTG